CACCCTACGAGGTCAAATTAGCAATTCAACTATCTGGAAGCCCAGCCTGACCCCACCTTCATGGACTAGAACCTGTAACCCAACACCATCAAAAGGACTCGGTCGTATAATCCATGAATGAATGATGTGTTTTTTGTTATGCTTATTTCTTTGGTAATTAGTAACTTATTATTTGTGTTTATTGTATATATTGTTAGAGGCAATGCATAGGAAATGTGACAATATCTTGTTGTAGCAATAGTCTTAGCATTTGGGTTTGTGTTTGCTTGCTATGCATCATTAAAAAGTAACTGAATCACAAACCTTCTGTCTCTTGGAGTACTCTCTCTTCCCTCTCAAGGAGCTGATGATCTCACAGTCAAATCCAGTATATGATCCCTGAGTGGAGCAGGATCTGTTGCTCCTCTCCCCGAGGGGGATTCTAACCCCTTATCTATAGCTTGCTCGTAACAGAAGAATAGCCTGCTCTCGACAGCCAGGTACTTTTAAATTCTGCACTGGATTGTGGAAGCATTAGTGGAGACTGACAGGAAATAAAACTGAATGACCATGAGGTCCACTGCTCTGCCATCATCTCTTTTCTCACTACTATCAGTGCCTAACTTCTACCATAGAGGACAGGGAAAAATTGGACCATAGAATTCAAGCACAGATCACACTGTAACTGTTTCTGGTGGCTCAGCTGCTTCAAAGTCTCTCTTTAACCTAACCCCTCAGGCATGCATGTCTCCAAACTTTCCAGTGGCCATGATTATGGAATAGCTCCTTGCACTCCACAAAGCTAATCAACAGAGCTGTCACAGTGCACACTGGGTACCAGTACCACAGGAGACCTTTCCTTCTTGATCGCCAGTGCTTGCAAAACCTGAAGAAAGCTACTATGGTTCTGGTGTTACTATTACAGGGCTACTGTAACTATTTCCAGTGTTATTTCATAATACTGTACTTGGTAGATATGGATTTTCAACCTCTTTTCCAGAATCCTTCTGGACCCTCAAACAATCTGGGGTTATTCTTTTCTACTGCTGTTTTATGTGTTTTACCTTTGCTCTCTTGCTGGCTAGTAGCAGGTGTGCTTTATTTAAAAAGCACCTCCTTTTCCAAGCTGATCTCAAGCATCCTTCCTGAGTGTCTCCTGAACCTATTAGCTAAAATAAATAAATTTTATTCCCTGTTTTTATAGCACATCTATAGGACTTGCATTTGATTTTGTAGGTCTCTCTCCTCTACTAAAATGCCATCTGGTCAGCATCAGAGCATCATTCATGTTTGTTCCAGGAATACCTTGTAGAGAAGAATCAGCTTAGGAAAAAAATGTCTAATGTCTGCTCTCAGTGCCTAATACATTCTCTTTTGCAATTTTCATTTTTTCTTAATTTACCTTTTTCATTCACATGTAAAAAAACAACACTGAAGGGCATATTTATAATAAAAATATATTTATTATTATATCTTATACTTATATATATACTTATATGCTTATATAATTATATACTATTATAATGATACTCTTATAATGATCATTATTATATATTATGCATAATATATTTTATTATATATTGTATACTACAAGATTTTATATTGATTATATATTATGCATTATAAGCTTAATTATATATTATATTACATGTATGATATGTGTTATATGTAATAAATTTACATAACATATGCAAATACATATTATATGAGTTTATATCATATATAAATATATAATATAAAATATAATAATTATATGTAGATGATGTATTTATATGTAATTATATAATTAATATAAAGTAAATTATGGTATAATATAGATAACAAATTGTATATTATTGTTCAAAATAGATTTCATGATGTCTATTTAATCAAGATTTTGATTAATACTACAGTAAATGGACCTTAACAAAACTAAGAATCTGTACAAAGAGCTACCTATGTCTAGGTCAGTAGCCATATCATGTGAGTTTGTCCACACTGCCATTAACAAGCTAACAGATTGGGAATAAGCATTTGGCTTCAGATTCTTCCCCATCACATGCCATATCATTAAAGAAGCTACTGCTAAACCTCTCTGAAGATATTTCCAGCTTGATCCTAACTCTCCTTGGAAATTAATGGCCCCCACATCTCCTATCGGTTTTGATTTCTTTCTGACTTTACTAAACTGTTTTTACAACCTAAGCTGAGCTAACTCATTTAAGCCAAGCGAACCAATGTGATGATCTAGTAAACTATTGTATCAGAAGAGATGATAAAAACTGTTCAACCTTTCATAATGTGCTCATTATTGTCCAACAGATAATTAAAACAAAGTGTCTTCCCTAAAGTCAGAAAGCAGATAGGGCAGGAAAAGAATGATTAAATAGTCAGGTGAGGGAAGGTCAGAAAAGGGAGATCACTGAATACCATTAGGAAAATTCTAAGTGAGCTGTGAAGAAATGCGCATTTGAAAGGAAATGGAACTCAAGGTAAGTGTACATCAGTGACTGTAAGGAAACAGACAAGATTGAGAAAGGAAAAATAAAAGAAAAATCTTCAAGAAGAATCAAGTTATAGACTAGAAGGTGATATGGTTAAGACCACCCCATCAGTATTTTTATTTATTCTATCCCCTCTTAGAGCCTGTTAGGGGCACTAATGGTCAGGACTCTAATGCAGTAATAAAAAAAAAAATAACCAAAAGCAACTTGGGAAGGAAAGGATTTATTTCAGTTTAGAGTTGTACAGCATAGTCCATCATTAAGAAAAGCTGGGACAGAAACTCAAGAAGGGCAGATAACTGTAGAGACAGGAACTGAAGCAGAAACCATGGAAGGACAGTACATATTTACTCTTCATGGCTTGCTTAGCCTGATTCTTATATATTCAAGGACAACATGCCCAGGGATGGTCCCAACCACAATGGGCTTGGCCCTCCAAATTAATCACTATTAAGGAAAACACACTACAGATTAACTAAAGGCAAATCTTATCAAGGCATTTCCAAATGATTCTTGCTTGTATCAGGTTGACATAAAATTGGCCAACACAGTAGCCTAAGTTTATGTTCCTTTTCTTTCCTCCCTTCCCTTTCCTTCCTCTCACTTTTCTTTTCTATTCTTTTCTTTTTTTCCTGTACTTAGTGGAGCTAAGTCCAATTCATGCTGCCCATTCCTACATAAGTATGGAACTATTTGCTGTATACCAGTGCCTATTCTCCTTTAGAGAAAAAGAGTGAATCTTTTTCCCTTGGCAGACATTACCCCTCAACATCTCCTAAACTAGAAGTGGTGTTGGGCCTCAGGGACCCCTCCTTTAACCATGCTGAAAATTTAAGAGGCTAGATCGGGGCAGGTCGTGAGCAAATAACCCTGTCTGCTGTGAGTCTATGAGTGCCTGCAACAACCAAGTCACATCAGAAAGTCTGCATTTCAGAGCTTCCTGCCCCCCCCCCCCATACACACATACACACTGGTTGTTATTTAGATCTTTCTACCTCCTCTCCAGTGATTTCCTCTGAGCCTTGGTTTTTAATCACAAAAGCTAAGACATTGTCTGGTAATAAGAACAGCTACTAAAACAAAGATCTAAAGAAGTTCAGGGAGAAACCAGCACAATTCAAGAACTATTTAGTGAGGGCCTACTCAGGGTGAGGTCACACTGGAAGCCATAAACTTATCATTCTAAGAGCTGCTGGGCTACCTTGCTACCCAGCTCTTTGTAGTTCAGAAAAAAATGGTAGGCACACACACACACACACACACAAACACACACACACACACACACACACACACACCATGCTAATGATGCCCTTAGGAGCCAAGATTCATGGCAGATTGAGATAACCATCCAGAGAGAAGCACTCAGAGATACTGAGAAGGAGAGAAGCATGGCTCTTGATGACCACAATGGATGGAAAATACACTCTTCCTTCCTTCACAGGGAGGAAAGTATTACACAGGCAATTAGTAACTAAACCAACAGTAAAACCTTGAGACAGTACTAAGCAGTTTCTGAAGCAAGGAGCAGTAAACTGAAATCTAAATGACAATGAGAACAAGCCAGGAAGAGAAAATAAAGGTGATAGATGGGGACCAAAGATAAAAGGGGATGTCTCAGGGGGCCCACGCTGAGTCATCCCTTCCCACTGAGGGACCAGCCACACATAGCATAGAATAGAGTTTATTCAGGGCATGAGGAGGGGAGCCAGAAGGGTAGTAGAGGCAGAGGGAGGGAGGAGGAGGAGGAGGAGGAGGAGGAGGAGGAGGAGGAGGAGGAGAGGGCGGCCATGACCATGTGGAGAGAGGGGGAAGGGAAGAGGGGAGGGGGCAGAGAGAAGCTACAGGCAAGAGATCAAGGGATCAAGAGAGTGAGGAGGGGGCAGGCAGCCCTTTTGATAGTGGGCAGGCCTACCTGGCTGTTCCCAGGTAACTGTGGAGGTGGAGTTTAGACAGAATACTAACATTCCCCCGTTTTGGTTTAATTAAAAAAGAAAAATTAGAAAGAGGTGACGGTGACGCAGGAATAGGGTCCTCGTGATACCTGGCTACTTCCTGCTGGCATGGGGGGGCGACGTGTCTCTAGGGGGAACCTAGAAGAATGGGTATGGGGGATGTTTGTTTGGTCTTAGGAGAGTTGGCTGTTTCCAGCTGTCCAGGGTCTATGGAGCCATCTGAGGATAGGTCAGAAGGGACAGGTCCAGCAGAAGCAGCTGTGTGTGTGACAGGAGATGAAGCATCTGCAGGTTGCTTCCCTGGAGCTGTTCTGGATGTGCCTGGACTTGGCAAGATGTAGGGAATAAGATTAAGTACATTTGGAAGAAAGAAAAATTTTCTAAGATGTACATTTGAAACCCAGAGGGATCCCACCCTTTGGAATAGGTAGTAAGTGGGAACTTTAGGCAGATGTACTTATCTGGATGGCATCTATTTGGTCCATGAGAGGTAGATCTGAGTGGGATTCCTGTAGCTTATAAGTTTACAAAACAGATAACAGCATGAGTTAACATGAGCAGTCTTTAAGGTGAACCTTTGTTGGATCTTATAGTGGAATGTTTTATGAATTTGCGTGTCATCCTTGTGCAGGGGCCATGCTAATCTTCTCTGTATCGTTCCAATTTTAGTATATGTGCTGCCTAAGTGCCGGCCAATGCACCAGTGAAAGATTTTTGGCATGTAGCTTAGACAGACAACTCCAGACCAGCTGGTTCCATGAGGGGAGGGGGTTTATTCAGGGCAGAGGGCAAAGATGGGGAGAGAAGCAGTAGAAGATGGCTGGGAAAGAGAATGAAGAGGAAAGAGTTCTGCCTATTTATATGAGCGATGATGTAGCTCTTCTCCCAGGTACAGGTGAGGTGGCCAGGTGTATTCTGAGAGTGTATAGCGGTTGCCTTGGCAACGATGTAGGAGTCACCTGTCGCCTGGATGTGACATCACCGAGGGGCTGATGCCAACAAAAGGAGCACCCCAGCTAGTGGCAACACTTCCTGAAGAGGCCTCCAAAGAGACTGGGGTGGGGTGGGGGTAGACAATGTGAGCTGAGCCAGGGGGGCAAGAAGAAACTCTCCAGAGGAAGGAAAGGGACTTCTGGTGTTAAAATAATCACTATTGAGCCTCAATGGGGGATCAACCAATACAATCTGCATCAAAAGAAAACTCAGTTGGGAGGCTGGATTCAAATTCTTCAGGCAGGCAAAACCCTGGTTCCTGGGGACAGGGAGATTACAGGACAGATTCAGACTCTGGGAAAATTTTGTTAGTAGAATTATGGAAATGGACTTACCAGTGAATTCAATGTGGAAAGAAAGTTTTGCAAGGAATCAACTTTAAAAAAAAATCAAGGTGGTGCCATTGTCTAAGGTCAGTGAAGAAAGCTGCCCTGAGAAAGAAATGCAGGAGCCTAGCTGTTGGCATGTTGTTCTTGAGACTCTAGTGAAATTCCCTAAGACATATGCTGAAGAGATGTTTACAAACAGGCAAATGAAGACCTTAGAGAAGCCCTGGCTGTGAGCACAGCATCTGCATTAAGTCAACACATAAAGCTACTATGGAGTCAGATGAATCTTCCTAACCAGGCAAAAGTAAAAGACACATAGGAAGGAGTCCTTGGGCATTCCAACACTGACAGATTATGCAAAGGATTAAGAACAAATTCAGAAAGAAAAAAAGGACAGGAGGTATGATATGTATCATGAGAAATACAGCATTATAAAGCATTATAAATATTATGATTGTCTGATGTCAAGAGATTAGTGTCCTCTGACATTACCATGGAATTAATTGTTCAAGAAAAATGGTGGGAACTGAAGAAATACATGAAACAAAGGAGAAAGGAGGAAGTAAAGTGAGGAAGTAGGACCTGAAACTAGTACCTGTAACTAGAAACACTCAGTATAGCTGAGGATCTCTCCCTCAGGAAGGCTATGCATACAGACACACATAACTTCAAATATTAGGGGTCCTGTGGTAGTTTAAATGAAAAAGTTCCCCATAGGCTTGCTCATTTGTTTGATTGCTTGGTCCACAGTTAGTAGAACTGTTTGGGAAGGATTAAAAGTTAGAGAAGATGTGTTACTGGGAAAGGGTTTTGAGGTTTCAAAAGCTTAGTCTCAGTCTCTCTCTCTTTTTCTCTCTTTCTCTCTCTTCCCCTCCCTCTTCCTCTTCTCACCCCTCACTTGCTGAAATTTATGGATCAGATGTGAGCTTTCAGCTACTGCTCCAGCTCCATGCTTGCCTTCTTGCCTTTCTACCATAATAATCATAGACTAACTTTCTAAAACTGTAATCAAGACTTCAATTACATGATTTCTTTTATGAGTTGCTTTGGTAATGGCGTTTCATCATGGATATAGAACAGTAACTAGAAAAGATATACACAGGGTCATTAAACACAAGTCTCTCTAAGACCAAAAGCTCTCTCCAATGGTGAGCATGGCAACCAAAACGATGGTCTATGTTCAAACCAAGTTGTTGATTCTCAGTAAGAACTATGAGCCAAGTCTGCAGACAGTCTCAGTTTTATAAAGTCTTTAAAATGCTTCCTTTTCTCTAAAGTAGGATCATTTAAATCATTCATTCAGCTTATCTATGCTAGGAGTAGTCAAAATAACTCAACTTTAAGGCTGACTTTGGCACAAAAGACTATGCAAGGACTGGTCTCTTGAGAGACTATCTATATTCAGAGGCTTTAAGAGCTCATCTTATTAACTGATTTGCTGATCCTGCCATCTCAGGGAAAGAAGAATTTAATAAGCCCCAGGTCTTTCACCAACAAGGCAGTCGAAATATATTGATTCTTCAGTCTTTCAGGAAAGATTCTGGTCTTATGACTAAGCAGCCACGATTATTAAGCAATCAGACCTAACAGTCACAATTTGATAAAAACACTAACTAGTATTCCAGGACAAAATCACTTATGTATATGTTTGCTTCTAAATTGCAATTTCAGTTGACAAGTTGTCATTTAGTATAAGGGGAGAATACTTATGTATGACAACTCTGGTCCATTTTTTAAAGCAATGCTAAGATGTAAAAACAGACTGGTGGATCCCTATGAGAATCATGGTTTGCAGCTCATTTAAGCACCTAAGCAGATATTGGGCAGCAATAAATAAAACAAAAGTGCTATAAACTCTGGCAGCTACAATAATAGTCTAGCCTTACAAGATATGACTACTAGTGTCATAGTGGCACAAGCATCATGGCAGTAACAAAACACTTTCAGGTTGTATTGAAGTCCTACTACACATGATGAAATACATACTTGGCCCTATTATCAGGCTAAAAACCTATTGCTAGACAGGTTCTCCCTAGGGAGAATCTGTTACTACTGTGCTACTAAGTGTATATAGTCTTAAACTGACTCGTAATGGTTTATCATTATGACCATAAATCAATTCATCTCTCATCTCTTACATGAGAAGCTTCTGTCTGCAGTAGTTTGTGATTAACACAATTACCCATAGCTGGCCACTGTGCAAGAATAAGAAATGGCAGAATACTTAGCCCTAAAATGAACATATCTTTCGCACCCCTTGCCAAATGCTCAGGGATCACTGTAGAGGAGGAATGGAAAGCCTTTAAGAGCTTAAAGCAAATGACTATAAAACAACAACAACAAAAAAATTCTTCTGGACACATCAAGGCACCTGCACATATGAACACAGAGCAGTTGTATCACATGTAAACAAACAAAACAACAATAACAACAACAAAACAAAAACCTGTGTAAGGCCAATCCTAGCCCAATCTGTGAAGCTATTGGCAATTATTACTGCTAGAAACAAAGAGTAGTTTTCTCTAAGCGTGTATGCAGCCTCTGGGAAGTCAGCCACTCCCCTATAGAAGACTATATATCCAAGAATGTTTGAGCAGCAAAAAGTAATTTTGAAAGGTTAAAAAACGAAAATGAATACAAAGTTGGGTGGACAAAAGAAGATGTTGGATTGAAGAAGAGTTAGGTAAAAGGAGGGAATATGAGCAAAACATGTATGAAACTATCAAAGAACTAATTAAAATGCCTTTAAAGTGGGAGAATCTAAACCTGGAACTGTTTATTTATTTATGTTATTTCCTACAGAATATTCTTATATCCTAACCTCAATAAGAATGGCCCATAGGAAAGTCTGTAAGGTAATGTCTTGTTAATGATTGACATAAAAGGGTGTCACTCACTAAAAGTGGTACCATCACTGGGCAGGTGGTTCTAGATTGTATAAGAAAGCAGGATGAGAAAGTCATGGGAGCCAGCCAGTAGGCAGCACCCCTTCATGGCCTCTACTTCATTTTCTGCCTTCAGATTCCTGCCCTGAATTCTTTCTTTGACTTCCTTTAATGATAGACTGTAACCTGGAAGTATAAGCTGGAATAAACCCTTTCTTCCCCAGGCTGCTTTTGGTCATGTGCTTTGCCACAAAGAAAACCAGACTAGGACACCCACCAATATACATTTTAGACCTCTGAAACTGTAAACATAAATACAGTCTTTCTTATGTTGCTTTTGGTCATGGTGTTTTATCACAGCAACAAAAACCTAAGCCACATATATTGTTACATGAGCTAGCAATTCCATTTTTAAATATTTATCCAAGATTATGGAAGTATTTCTGTACGAATATTCACAGTGGTAATGTTCATGATACCCAAAAGTTAAAGCAATTTAACAGTCCAATATTTGAAGAAGAGATTCTAAAATCCTGATGGATATATACAGCAATATATCATTTATCAAAGCAAAATTATGTGGCTATGACAAGCTAAAAAAAATAGCTATTCATTAAAAATGATTCTAAGGTAGCCACAAAATTATATCATATTATATTATTCCTTTTGTATGAAATGTTTATATTTTAAAAAAATACTGACACAAAAAGCAAATTAGAAGTTTCTTTGAGGTTATAGAGGAGGTTTGAAAATAACTATTGATGTGTATATGGCTAAATACAAATTGTATTTTAAGGAGATGTTTGCTAACATTATTTGTTGCCATGGTTTCACAGTTCCGGAAAATACAATAAAGTCACTGAACTCTGTTTTTGAGACTATATAATGAGGCTGACCTTAAACCTGTAGCGATTCTCCTTGACCAAGCAGTGAGATTATAGGCATTAGCCACAAGGCCCAACTTAAAGCATACAGTTTAACTGGTTAAATTTTATAATACATAATAGAGACATTAAATTAGTAGAATGAAGGACAGATGAACAGAAATAAAGGAATCCATCAACCTAACAATGCCACTAGCAACTAAAGTGCATCCTAGAGAGACTCACCTGGGGGAGAAAGGTCTAACCTCTCATCTCTTACACATGAACGTAACAGGTATGTGCATGCCCAAACAGGACGACAGCTGTGATGGTCAAAATACCATAAAGGCCCTTTAATTAAATAAATATGAACAAATTCCTCTATAGTTTGTCTGAGTACTAAGAATGTTGGATCATAATTACACCTTGGCCCATTTTTTCTTTGATATAATTAGCTGTTCTATCAAATTGTAATTACTGTATCAAAGACTGAAGCAATAATGTCAATGAATATTTTCAATGCATGAAACTGGGTTATTGTAATCAATTTACTTTTCAGAAAATACAGTACCATGATTTACATACTGTAGTCTAGAGCCAAAATCCAACTTGCTGTCTG